TCGTCCTGACGCGGGTCCTGGTCCCCGCCTGGATCATCCTCTACTACGTGAAGTACCACGTCATGGTGCGTGCGTGACGGAGGGGCTCCGGGGGAGCGAGGGAGCCTGGGTTAAACCCGGGGGGAAGCGGGCACGCCAGGGGTTGGACCGCGGTGCTGGCTGGGCGCTGGCTGCGGGGTAAGGGCGCTCCCCGTGGTCTCTTCACCGCTCGCTTGGCTGGCGCAGATATTTTATGTTCTTTATTTGTTTTGGTCATCTTTTATGGTAGTGACCAGCTTGGCCGTGCTGCCTCCTGCGAGCCGGCCAGCTGCACCTCAGTCATTGCTTTCCTGAAGAAATCACAGAATCCGGGTTGGAAGGGACCCCAAGGATCATCCGGGCCAACCTTTCCGGGCCAGAGCCCAGCCCAGCCAAGGTGGCCCAGCGCCCTGTCCAGCTGAGGCTTGGAAGTGCCCCGCGTGGCGGAGCCAACCCCTGCCCTGGGGAGATTATCCCAGCGGGTGACTGTTCTCATGGGCGAACATTCCCCTCTCGTGTCCAGTTGGAATCTCCCCAGGATAACTTGTACCCATTGCCCCTCGTCTTTTGCTTGTGACTCCTTGCGAAAAGGGAGTCTCCGTCTTCCCTGTAGCCACCCTTTAAAGACTGGTCCGTGGTGATGGGATCCCCTCGGAGCCTGCTCTGCTCCAGGCTGAACAAACCCAGCTCTCCCAGCCCGGGAGCCAGAAAGCCACCTCTTAATCGCTGCTTTCCCGGGGGAACGGGGACCCTGGGGATAAGGGGGCTGCAGCTGCTGGTGTGGGGAGGGGGCATGGCCGGTGCGGCGGCAATGGGACAGGCCTTGCACTGCTGCCCTCTCATCTTGCTTGTGAGGTGTCGTTTTCTTAGCCTGGGCTGTTTCCTTAACTAGGAACCTGGCTTAACGAGCCTGTACTCAGTAGAGCTTGTGGTTTAGAAGGGTCGTCATCCCTGCTGTGGAAATCCTTTATACTTCATCTGGGTAACGCTCATTTTTCCCTGCCCCCTCCCTCCCTTGTGTTTCCCCCCCACCCCTTTCAGAAAATGCCGCACGGTGCTGTTACGTCAAACCCACGGATTTTCCCGGTAAGTCCATCCATGTTTGTTTTCTCTTCCAGCTTGGGAAAACAGGCAGAGAAGGGGCGACCTGGGGAGAAGCACGGGTTCGCGCAGTAGCCGTGCAGGGAGAATTTCTAGGCGGCCGAGCGTGATGCCGTGGGCAGGCCGCCCTGGAGCAGCGCAGTTACAGTATTTCCGAGCCGTTTTCGTCTCGTTCTCGGAGCGGCCAGTCCCTGTTTTGCTGTTACCTCCTTTTGTAGCGGCAAATTTCCAAGCACCCAGCTGACAGCACTGCCCGTTCCCGGCGAAAAACGCAAACGTCCCCTTACGGGATCTCCCGAGGCGACTGGAGCAGGTTCCCTCACTGGAGAAGTGCGCGTGGATCACGCAGGGAACCTCTCCTGTTTGGTTCTCGGTTTCCTACTTGTGCCCAATTTCGTGGGAAGCTGAAGCGCTGGGTCCACCGGGGCGTGAAGGGCTGGTGAAAGCGATGGGGGCGTGCTCCTGCTCCCCCGAAAAGGGGCAAGCCCCGCTGCCTGCCCGTCATGGTGTCGCTAGGAACAGATTGAATGCAAGCGTTAATTACTGCGCGTCTCTGGGAGGGGCTTTGGGCGTCCAGCGCCCCGGTGGAAGCAGGATTATTCACCCTGGAATGGCAGGAGCAGTGACTGTCAGGAGTTGGGAGGAGTTTGGTGCCCAGCGCATTGGTTCGGGCCGCACGAGCTTGGCCCCAGGCGTCCCTGAAGGTCCCCCACGCTCGGGCGTCCCCTGAGCGGCAGAGCTGTGCCACCTCCAGCTTCAGCTTGGGTTTACAAAGCCGGGGGTGTCGGCCTGTTTGGTCTTCGCTGGTTTTCGGATTGCTCCGAGCCGTTACTCGTTGCTTGGTGTGGCGAGTCGGTGGGCAAATGTTCTCACATGAGTTTAGCTCTGCTATTTCTGCCAGCTGCAGATTTTTTTTTTGCGTAACGTCTGCCTAATTGTGCTTTATCTGCAATAAAACGATAAAAAGTTCCATCCCTAGCAACCACATAGCCACGTCCGGAAGGTCAGGCTGCGGGCCTCTGACTTCAGCCTAATTACTCCCTCGCGCTAGGCCAGCTCGGCAGGCCAAGGCAGTGCCTGAAGCTCTAACACGGAGCAGTGGGGCATTGGATTGATTTTCGAGGGGTTATGTAGCTCTTTGTGGGCTACGGGCTCGCCAAAAGCTGAGCTGTGGTGAAGGTGCTTAGGCGGTGCCCTAAGTCCGAGGCTCGTTTTTAAAACACAACTGCCTCAAAACGTTTGGCTCCTGTTCTGCAGCTGAAGAGGAAGGGGTAAGGCAAGTACAGATTTCGGGTAATTTGGCTGTGGTGTTATTTCTGAATCTTGGGAAATGTTGAGTGAATGAGAATGTCCCGAGCGAGGTGGAGTAAGGGTTTTTTGGGGACAGCTACAGCTTAACTGATGGACTGGGCGGTGTGAAGGGGGAGACGGGGTGTGGGAGAAAACGCTCACCATCCTCCCTCGTTCCATCAGGGGGACAGGATTTTAGAGACGGGAGAAATTATTCCACCCCTGAAAGAAGAACCCCACGAGCACCACTGATGGCAAACGGCTGATGTCCTTCTGCCGCGAACAAGGCGAGAACTGCAACGGCTTTCTCTCTCTTATAAAAGAGTCTTTATGCTGCGTCGCCTCAGCCTTTCTGTCATTTGTCTTCTCCTTAGTCCATGTTATTCCAGTTGCTACCGTGTGGGAGTTTCTTTGCCTTCACTGAGCTTTATTGCTAAATCCTGGTGATCTCTGACCCCCCTGCCTCAACTGTTTTTTTTATCTGACCTGACAAGACCTGGCAGCGTGACAATGTGGGCCTCGGAGTAGCAGGAGAGGTGCTACAGGTCCCAGGGGACCGTGGAGTCGTCTGCTCACAGGAGGGGGGTGTCACGGCGAGCTCCTGCGCACGCACGCACCGGCTGCCCGCTCCCGGCCTGGCGAGCCCTGTTCCACCAACGGGCTCTGACAGACACTTCCAGGACAAATTAAGCTCCCACCTATGTCATCCCACTTCTCTGCCAAGAGAGGGTAGCAGAAGCGGCGCTGCTGCCAAAAATTCTTTATTCTTTACCCTTTAGCACTTCCTTTTCTGTCTTCAGCCCTTTCTGAGTTGGAGTCTTCCTGCCCTCGCTGGCCCCACCTCCCCGGGGCACTTCGTACTGGGGAAGGCTGGCCCCTAATCAAGTGCTAAATCTAAATTTTGGTGGCTACTTTGGGGATAGAAATGACTCAACCAGCAATCCAAAGGGTAACCCGAGGCACCTAAGGGGAGGGGCTGGGAGAGAAGCCCCTCGTGACCTCATGGAACCACGTGTGACCAGTATAGCCAGCGTTTGTGAGGTCAAGGAGACGGGCAGGAGCCCCTCTGCTATCCCCGGGGGCAGCCAGGCCTCTCGTAACCCCTCCAGTACGGACTCGCACCAACAGGGCCATGGCCAACGCAGGCGTGAAAACCCTCCTGCAGTCGCAGGGGCCCAGGGAGGCTATGGACCCTGCGTCAGGCAGCCGGCCATCACTGGGAGGCTCTGGAGGGGGGCACTGGGGAAGCTTGAGGGTCCCTGGGGGGCTCGAGCGTCAGCAGGGGTGGGTGGGGGGCACCGGGGAAGGTAGAGAGTCAAGGGGAAGACTGGGGAGTTAATGGGGACTATTGAGGGTTATCAGTGGCAATAGGAGGGCAATGGGGCTAGTAGAGGGCTTGTGGGGGCCGCAGGGCTCTGAGACCTGTGCTTCCTTCCCGTGGCCATGGGGGTCCCTGTCACCACCTCTGCCCCACGGTGTGTCAGGCCCCCCAGCGCGGAGTTCCCCAGGAGCGCTCCTGCCCAAAACTGCTGCAACCTGAAGCGAACCTTCGCCTGCACCAACTTGCTGCTGCTCAGCCTGGCCGACCCCAACGACGCCGCAGACAAGGAGGCTTCCCCTGGCCCCCGCCTGTGCGCGCCGTGCCCCGAGGAGAGCACCCAGCCCACTGCCCTTCCGGTGAGTGACCCCTGGGGATGCCCCACCTCCCTGGGGTCCCCTGACACCCCCACCCCACTGACGAGGGACTGGTTGGGGTGTCCCACCTCTCCAAGGTCCCCCTGCACGCTTCTGCAAGGCTTGTGAGGGACTGGGGACCCTGACATCTCCTTAGGACACCCATGGGGATGCCCGATACCCCCAGGGTGCCCAGATTCCCCCACGGAAGGCCTGACACCTCTCCCCCTCTAGTGAGAGACCCCCCCAGGACTGCAGGGTAGTACCCCCAGAGTCCCACAGACATCCCCACAGCTCTAGCACCCCTAGAGCCACCCCTGATCCCCCACATCCCCAGGCTGTGGGGCCCAGGTGGCTCTTCTAGGCCACAGACCGAGTCCCAAATCTGAAGGACTGGTGTGGGTCAGCTTGTGGGGCCCCGGGATCACCTGGACATTTTGGAACAGATAAACCCTGCCTGGGTAGAGGGATTGGATCTCTCTCCCTCAATTGGGGAGGGGTTTGACTGTCACAGTCCCACCAAAAAAAGACAATAGAGGACACAGAAGATGTCCTGGCAGGAGAATTCATCACCACCGCCTCGCCTGTCCCACTGAAGAAGACCGCACACGGCACTCGGGGCGCAGGAGGACCACCCACCCGCTAAGACACCGTGCTGCTGGCAGCGTGCGGGGCCTGCGCCGTGAACGTGCCTCTTGTAATACAGCCTGGCTCTGCCCTCGGGAGCTCTGGGCCTCCGTTACACCTCTCAAAAATCTTTTGAGTCTTATTTCCCTCTTGTGCTGAGTGGGGGCGATGCGTTACCTCGGCAAATCGAAACCTTCCTGGGTTCGTCCTCTGCTACAGCCCCCCCATACACATACGTACACACGGGAGTAAGGGGAGTGCACCCAGGGACATCGTCTACGTAACTTCCTTTTGAGATCCCTACGAGCTAAAAAAACGAGAACCACTCTGATCGGGGACAGATACGCACACACACATATATATGATATATTTAGTCAAGAGTTACATTTCTTTGCATCTGTCTTGTTGCAAAAAGCTTTCCATTGCAACAGCCCAAGGAACATGGAGGAAGACCTCCTCCCAAATAGGTGACGGATGATATGCTCCAGGCTGTGACTTCTGCCCAGCTCTCTGGAGAGCCACCAGGTCCCCTCCTCCATCAGGCTGCAAATGGTTGAGGGCAGGTACCCGAAAAGAGCCGCTTGCTGGTCCCGAGCTCAGGTAAATGAGGCTGAGCAGGAGGTAAACGCTCGTTGGTGCCTTGGGAAGCAAGGACTGGAGGGTCCCCGAGTGGGTGAACACCCTAGCCCTTCCTCTCCCCCACCCCGCGCGCCTCGAGCAGGGGCTGCTGGCTCCAGCACTGGCTGCGAGAACTCAGCCAAGAAGCCTCCCTGTCCTCGTCAACGCCGGCGGTGCCATCCTTCATGCTGGGTTAGCTGGCTCTGCCCCAGGTCACCTCCCAGTTTCTCCCACCCCACAGGGTATCCCCTTGCGCAGTAGCTCACGGCCAGTGCCGGGCAAGCTCGTTTAGGAGACACTGAGGATATGGAGCTGTCTCGGTGCCCGTGTCTACGCCGATGTACGGTGGAACCTGTGAGGGTTCATACGGTGTTTGCTTGTTGGGGCTTGACTGTGTGAGTCCCTGGGGCCGGACAGGAGCTGAGAGAAGGGGCTGATGCTCTTGCAGCGCGGCTCCCCACCAGCTCTGCAGCGTGGTGGTGACTGGGGGAGAGCCTCCGCGGCTGGAGGAAAGCCAAGTTTTCCACCATCGTTAAAAGAGGATGAGATTCGCCGGGTGGTTGCAGGCCAGCCAGCTTTGCTTCAGGCCCCGGGGAAAAACATGGAATAAGTCCTTGTAAAGAAAGCATGGCAGGGGGAAGAGATGGGAAGCGGTCATCGGGGAGTTAAAATGCGATTGCTTTCTGTGATACCACGGCGAGGTTTGGTCAGGGGGGAGCAGTGGATGACACTGACCTTGCCTTCAGCGAGGCCCTCAGTGCTGCGAGGGCGTTTGTTTCCAGGAATGCGGTTCCCTGAAATATTGATGCCGCTGCTGCGTCGGCTGAATGTTTGATTCCCTTTATAATCAACGACAGGAATAGGAGCTTACCTGGAATAACTGGAACCCTCCGTCTTTCTCCATTGCTGATAGATGAAGACATGATGGCCAGTAAAATTTACATGCCTCATCGGAAATTAGGTGATGTGAATCCCAGTCCATGTGACTTCCTACCAGAGCTTGCTGGCGTTCAGCCACTGCTCAAAATCGCTTTGTAACTGGGCAAGGTTTTATACGGTTATTCTCCAAAAACAGAGGGCTGAGCTGATAATGTAATTTCAGGCAGGAGCTCCCCCGTCGCACCAGAAGGGCTGGAGGTCAGCAGCTGGTTTTTTCGTGCTGTGTAGATACGGAGAGTGCAGCGACGCCCCCACCCCTCCTCGCTCAGCACCGTGCAGTCATACTGCTCATGTCTCAATTAATAATCATATGCATAACAAAGGAGGCTTAATTCAACTGCCCACACGCAAGCATGCAGAGACATTTTGAGGCGCTTTTCCTTGTCTCCAACTGCTGCTGGGTAAGGTTGAAGGTATGAAGGGTGTCCAAGCGTGTTGCTGTGAGCTGAGTGCCCGTTTGGTGCTGTAGATGGTGAGAGGTCCCGCTCCAAACAGCCACCGTGGTGGAAACGGTGGTTTCTTTTAGGGACAGGGTTTAGTGGTGGGATGGCAGGGTTAGGTTAAAGGTTGGACTCGATGATCTCAAAGGTCTTTTCCAACCAAAGTGATTCTATGATTCTTTCTAAGCCCTACTTCACCCTTTCTCCAGGGGATGCTGATGGGTTTTGGCCTACAGTGGCCAGGGGAGCCCCGCCGGCCATCTGGCAGGGCCGTGCGCTGGGAGACCAGCCCTGGGCTTTCCCCGGGGGCAGGCTGGGCGCTGGGCGAGCACCGAGCCCCACGATTTCCCCGGTCCAGGAAACCTGCGAGCGAGGGCAGCGGGGAACTGCTCTTCCCTGGTCCACCCCCGGAGAACAAAGGGAGAGCTGCTTCTGCAGCCTCTAGAAAAGGTCTGCCTACAAACGCACGCATCGCTCTGACCAGCAGCTACATCTTACGCACAGAAGCAAAAGCTACCCACGTGGCTGTGGGTCCCTGCATCGTCTTTCAGAAGACTGCCAGGTCTCCCAAACGTTGTCGCTGTCACAGCTCCCCTCAACTGCCCAAACACAGCGCTTCGGCTCCCCTTTGGGGAGGGTCCAGCAGCCTGAAGGGAACGTTCCCCCAGTAAGCAGCTTGTCCTTTTCCAGTTAGCAGCCATTAGCCCCCCCGTCCAAGCGCGGTGGCATGAACGCCGCTGCTCGTGCTGGAACGACGGCCGTTTCTTTCACTCCTGTGCCTGCCGGATCGACGTGGCCGATTCACATCTGGGGTTCCCCCCCCTCCCCATTCTCACGTGTGACTCCGGGAGGGGCGCAGCCCTGCACCCCGAGCTCAGCAGGCTTCCTGAGAAGCTTGCTCCCGCGTCGCACCCCGCTGGGGCCGGAGGGGCTGGGGCTGCTGCTTCAAGGGGTGAGGCTGGCAGCGGG